GAAATTAAAACCTAGAAAATCTCCAGGCCCAGATAAGATCCACAACGAAATGCTGCTACATCTTGGCCGGTCTGGGAGAGAAGTAGTTCTCAGGCTTATTAATAAAACTTGGAGGTCAAGCAAACTTCCAAGGGCATGGAGGAATGCATATATCGTCCCCATCCTTAAAACCAAAAAGCCTCCAGATGACCCCAAAAGCTACCGCCCGATATCCTTAACATCATGCTTGGGCAAAGTTGCAGAAAGAATGATAAACAGGCGCTTATATTGGTTCCTTGAGAGTTCTGGTGTTCTATGCCATGAACAGGCAGGCTTCAGAACCAACAGCTGCACAGAAGACCAGCTGTTCAGACTGACACAAAGAATACATGATGGCTTCCAGAATAAGAAACACACAGTGGCAGTCTTTGTCGACCTCCAGCAGGCCTATGACAGAGTATGGAGAAAAGGTCTCCTGATGAAGATGATGAGCATAGGAATACATGGCAGATTGTATAACTGGGTGAAATACTTCCTGATAGATAGAACAATCCAGACTAAGATGCACAACGCAATCTCTTCTAAAGAAGTCTTGGAGGAGGGCTTGCCACAAGGCTCATCATTGAGCTGTACACTATTCCTAATCTTTATCAATGACCTGCCAGAACAAATCAAGGCCGAAAAAGCCTTGTACGCTGATGACCTAGCAATATGGCAGAGTCATGAAAATGTGGAAAGTGGAGCCCAAAGACTGAATGGAGACCTTAGAAGACTGCATGATTACTGCCAAAGATGGAAACTCAAGATTAACTGTGCAAAGACGGTCTACACAATCTTTACCAAAAGCCACCAAGTAGCAAGGAAGAATATTAACCTGAGGTTAGACAAACACCAAGTGATGAAAGAAGAGCATCCCACATACCTTGGAGTCACACTTGACCCGCAGCTCAGCCTCAAGAACCATATTGAAAACATCAGGAATAAGGCATTGAGGCGGTTACAGTTATTAAAGAGACTTGCAGGTACATCATGGGGATCAGACAAGGAAACTCTGAGGGGCTTATACCTAGGATATGTTCGCTCTGTGATAGAGTACAACAACTCACTGCTTACAACTTGTTCCAAAACTAACCTAGAGACTCTTGACAGAGTACAAAATAATGCCCTCCGATTAATCTGCGGAGCTATGCAGTCTACACCAACTGCTGCATGTGAAATCCATACAAATGTGGAACCCCTCGGGTTGCGGAGAGAAAAAGCCACTTTAGAAATTTATGAAAGATGCGTTAGGAAAAATCGTAACCATCCTAATAGACATCTTGTAGAAAACTGGGAATCCAAACAAAGAATAAAGCACAAATCGGTTTTACACTGTGTAAATGAAATTCAGGACAGATACCACCTCCCAGAAAGACGTCAAGGAATTCAGAATGTTGCAAAAAACCTACCACCACATGCTCGCTTTAAAGCTCCAGAAGTCCAAACTAAATTGGTAGGCGAGGAAACCAAACAGTCCGACCCAATCGCTCTTATGAACTCATCACTAAAGACCGTTGATTCTTACCCCCAAGAATGGATACATGTCTATACTGATGGATCAGCATTTAAAGCTACCATTAAAGCAGGTTACGGAATCTACATAGGTTATCCCGATGGATCTGTTGAAGAGATTTTTGATGCATGCGGGGAATTCTGTTCAAACTATGAAGCTGAAATAATTGCACTGGAAACAGCAGTATACCACCTAAAGACTGTAATGGATGTTTACCCCTCAAAGGTCCAAAATATTGTCATCTTCACAGATTCAATGTCTGCCCTTCAAGCTCTGGAGGGCAATGAACGCTGCAGAACTGACATAGCCAAGATAATCCTGGATGCCGATCATCTTATTACCTCATACAACATCAGAATAGTGATGCAGTGGATTCCAGGTCACTCCGGCACACCAGGTAATGACAGAGCTGACAGATTGGCAAAGAAAGGAGCAACACAAGAACAACCACCTACAGCGACAACCCTCCAGACAGCAAAAACACTGATAAGAGCTATAAACAAAGAGACTTGGTTGAACAGATGGGCCATGGGAGACACTGGAAGAGAGGTTTATAGACATATGTCTGGCCCTGATCCTAATGACAGCATTAACCATCTAACAAGAAGGGACCAGGCCACCATCTTCAGACTTAGAACGCAACATACTCCACTCAATGGACACCTAAACAGAATACAGCCACAACACTCCCCAGAGTGCCAGCTATGTAACTACCCCTACGAAACTGTTGAACACCATCTCTTTGAGTGCCCAAAACTCAGTGAGACAAGAAGAACGCTACTCCCTCCGAGACCAGACAAGTGGAACACCTTGTACGGAGGAAAAGAACAGCTTGTGAAAACATGCAAATTCCACTACATGGCATTGGGCCAAAGGGCGAAAGCTCATGCGCCGCTGGATCGATAACAACAACATATATATATATATATATATATATATATATATATATATATATATATATATATATATATATATATATATAATTAATATGGGTCCTTGTTACGTTCTTAGCCCCTAACAAACCGTGATTGGCCATTCATTCATGCTTCATGACCTTTCATACGCGCTAGTCTATGTTACAGGGGTGTCAGGTTGTGTTGTCTTCGATGCTCTTACCAGCGATGTGGCTTGTAATTTATTACACGATATAACAGATTTTAACAAATGTTTTGTATGTACCAGAAGATCTAGAACTGGCCCTAACCACAATCCCGAACCGCACATCTTCAGCCTACGTCCCACGAGAGAGTGCAGCGTACGTCCCGTATCACGTTGTGCTGTCTTCGATGCTATAACTGCTGATATCCCGTGTTCTTTATTACACGATGTGACCGCTTTTAACGACCCCACAACATTCAAAACTGGCCCTAACCCCGCTCGCCTTGATGCAGAAAAGCAACGCTTCTCTCCGTGTCGATCGTCAACGCTGACAGCTTAAGTTAAATCATGTCTTACCTGAAGTCCCAGAATGCCATAATAATAAGACGAACTACAAACAGGAGCAAGCACAGCAAGGGTCCACCGGTCATCGGTAGAGATCCTTCGTCGGCAATTGCTTAGGCCCATGCTTCCCTAAACAATCTCGGAATGTGGTCCAACCTGGGTCATGAAGCCAGGTTCTGACCTTTCCTGCTGCACTTCAACGTACTCGATAGGGACAAGACGGTATGTTGACTTTGCAACAGTTGCGGTGAGATTTTGTGTTATATTGTCGCCGCGGTAGCATATCAGATCAATTGACTGCCTTCACGACCAGAGTGACAAGCTTTTGGTTGGTTCATCGGACAATTGTTAGACTTTGGCTTTTGGCAAAGAGACACCGGTAGACATTTATCGGACACTTTGGCTTTTAAGGGATAAGAAGCCTTTTCCCGCTAGGAACTCGAACCAGTCTACTGAGACCCATCCTCCACGACGTTCCGTTGCGTCCAGAGCCAGCTCGAAGCTCTTTCAGCAGCTTCGCCCAAATGTTTTAGTAGCCGTTTATGCTCGTTTATCAGGGGCCAACCCTTGAGGAAGCAATGGCAAACTACTGGACATAAAATTTGTCTAGAGAAACCTGCCTGGGGTTGGTTTTGCAACGTCCTGTGAAGGATACGCAACTAACCATTATGCTCGTTTTCTCGCAAGCTTATCTGCTTTAGTACATAATACGTGAAAGTAGAGATAAGCCTTTTGCGCCTACCTCGACGGCGAAGATTTTTACTGCGTACGAAGCGTACGGACTCTTTTCAGACCGGCCACGAGCTCCACGTACTTCTCGAGCTTGTACAGGTGATATTTTTTTCATCCGCGACTCGTACGGCCCAGTCAGCTCAATCAGAGTGCGCTTGCGTTTTCCTGCAGAGTGCTAAACTATATCAGGTCTCAGACCGGTCTTCCGGATTGACTCTGGGTACCTCTTGAAACCAGGCAGGTCGACAGCCAGTAACCAGTCCATCGCACAGTCAAGTATTGATGGAGCGTATGCCAGCTTGTTGATTTTACCGTTATAAATCTACTGAGCCTTGAGGAAGCGCATGGGGTCACGGTAGGACTGGCCCTCGCGTTGGCCCTTATCCTGGCTTGGTCTACAATGTCCGCTAACTCTTTCAAGACTTTATTGTCGCGCCAAGTATATTACCTCTGGCCCTGGGCTTCTCTGCACGCGGACAATGCGTGCTCGAGCGTCTGTTTAGCTCTACATACCGGGCATGTCGGGTCGCTAGTCGCACTCCACTTTACCATGTTAACACCGTAGGCAGATCGTACGATAAAGCTCAGTCGCAAAGGAATTCGTGGGGCATGGGCCTCGGTGAGCTGGTCCGGGTATCTAGTGGAAAAGAAAGTCTTATCCCTTCAAGTCCATCGTGTCCGAATTGTCTGCCAGTGTCCCTCTGCCATCTGCCAACAAAGTCTAACATGTGTCCGATAAACCAACCGTAAGCTTGCCACTTGGTCGTCCAAGTAAGCTGACTGCTCTAATTATGCTACCGCAACGACTATGTAAATACTCTTCGTATCTCACAGTGCCACTTGCAAAGTCATCAATTTCGTCTTTTCCCTGTCCGAAAACATCCGGTAATACGTACAGCAGGGGAAAATCAACCCTGATCTTCATGAACTCAGGTGGGCCCACTCTCTGAAAATGTATATTAGCTAGTGTGCCAAAACATTTGACGACGAGAGATTACTTCTACTGATGATTGGTAGACTCCTGCTGTACATGCTCTCTTGTGTAGTTTCTTCTTACCCCAAACAGGGAAAATCAACAGGTCACAAGACAGTCTAATATCTTTCGTGTGACGTAGGTGGGTTGGGGTAATGGCCAGTTCTTGATGTTTTAGGGTCGTTAAAAGCCTCAGAAAGCCGGGAAAACCAGTCTTACCACCCACTTAAATGTTGGACTTTTATGTGACGTCATCTGGGGGTAGGCTAATAATAAAGTACCGTTAAAATGTTCTGAATATAAAAGTTCATTAATTATTACCATTCCACTAAGGACTTTTCCAAAGATAAAATGTTTGCCATCCAGCCATCTTGCCGGGCGAAGTATGATGTAGAACTCTGAGCCAGTCGTGTTAGGGCCGAAGTCAGCTCTGCCTAACCAACCAGCGTGGTTGTGACTTATCGAGTTCTCTTCTCGAGGCCAGGTGAGGCGAGGGACGTTCGAGCCTGACAAGTAACAACATCCAAGCATGATATATATATATATATATATATATATATATATATATATATATATATATATATATATATGCATTATATATATATATATATATATATATATATATATATATATATATATATATATATATATATATATATATGCGAACTCTGTAGTAGGAGCACAAATTGAAATTTAAAGGAAATTTAAAAACACACTATCGCCATCTCGTTCCCTCTTCATCTTTCTCCTCCCCCTTTTCTTCTTCTTCTTCTTCTTCTTCTTCTTCTTCTCCTTCTTCTTCTTCTCACCCCTTCCTTCCCCTCCTCCTCGCAGTCTTCTTTCTTCTTTTTATTATTCTATTCCCCCCTTCACCTTCTTTGTTTCCCTTTTTGAGCTCTAGTTTTCTTCTAGCCTTAGCAACAACAAAAACATACATGGTCTTCGAGACAAAGCTTCACAACTTCTTGCTAAATTATATACAGATTGTACGACTATAGTAATTAATAAAGGCAGTCTGAAGAAAAAAAACCGAGAAAGAAATAGAAAATGAGAAACTTACTGTCATAAAATCGTGATTTAATATCGCCTAGTATAATCATATAATCTCGAATGATGCTCTTAATTTTAGTGCTTCTGTAACTCATATACAACTGAAATGGAAACCAAATTTCAACGTAGAATTCACAGTGTGTAAAAGCAAACGTGTAAATCTAAGTACTATTAAATTTGAAATTTATAAAAATAAATCATGCATTTGACTATCAGTAAGTAATATGAGATGCAATGACGTAAAAGAGAAAAAATAAAGGGGGAGGGGGCAGTAGTGACGACGGCTCAGAAGGTCATCACTAAGCGTAGCGATAAAAAAAATGGCAAAAATATGTTTTTAAAATTATTTTTAAAATGTTAAACAAAAACTTCAGCTTTGCAAACTATAGGTCCTCTTACATGCAGTGTCTCATTGGGCACATGAGGGCTTGACTTATAGTGTTGTTTTATATGCCACCTCGAGGGGTGATATGGTCCACATCACGCCGGCCGCCTTTACTTCTCAGGACTTTACCTGGTACTCATGTAAGGCTGGGTCCACCTGGGAGCCAATGCCATGTTTGAAAAAAAAAAAAATTGCTTTGTGTCGATTTGAATCCGCAACTTTCGGATCCGCAGGCCATCGTCTAACCGCCACACCACGGAGTCTCCCTTCAACTTCAGTTTACTAATATGTTATTCTTTGTTCATTTTCACCACTGATGATCTGTTTTCCTTTTTAGGTCATCACATGGTGGGTGTGTAGCCAGCATGCTTGTATTAACAACCTACCCAGCAGGAGACCATATTGTTCATTTTTTGAGATCATCTTCATCGCACATTGGACGTAACCATAAAAGCTCCGATCTCTTCGTGTGTGTCTCCAAGTGATTTTAGGCTAACAACTTTCATTCTTTTCTGGCTGATGTAACGACGGGTGTCAAGATATTCATAACCGTGGAATGTCTCAGCATAACTGTTTTAGAGGTTGAATTTGGGTTTCTTGAATTTGCTTCTGGCTGATTCGCATCCTGGTAGTAGCTCTTTCAGTCGCTGGGTTTTTCGAGATTTAATCCTTGGGGATACATTTTAAGTTATTAAATGTAACCAGCCAGTTAAATTTAATTGTAGAAACTTCATATTTATTTATTTTGTGGGCCAGGTGAACGTTTCTGTGCGAAACATGTCCAATATATTGAGATCAAATAGGTTTATTGGGATGATTATCAATATGCACTCCAGGAGTGTCCGCTTTTTTTCCTGCAAAGTTTCGTATTTCCTTGATTGCACGCATTTCCCTTTTAAAGTCAATGACTTTGACCCTTTTGTGCATGTGGATTGTAGTCTTTGGTAATGATCTCAGTGGTAACTATCTTCTTTTCACACGGTCGTCAAGCCATTTCAAGCGTCGCAGCGTGCTTTCTGTCTTTTACTCAGCATACACAAATTTGAGTGTTTTGTTTTACTGTAATTGAAACATGCATGTATAATGTGTTTAAACATGTTGCCTACAAGTCGATGTTGAAACGCAGCTACAGCTGTTGCAATTTGAATACTGATATTTTGAAAATTGATTTTTATCGACAATCGATTAGGCACACCAAACACAATACAGCCGAAGAAATAGATCGACACTTAAACTATAACTAAGAATAAAAACCATCCCTACTGAACTGCAGGTTCTTCGTAACTGTTTTGTGGTGCCTTAGTACAAATGTGCTAAATATATGTGTATGGAAGCTGTGGTAATTACACAGAAAATGGATCCTCCAAAATGCAGTATCAATGTTAATGGGACAATCCTCAATAAAGTTGATACGTTTAAATACTTAGGTACCCTGAAAATATCAGGTATATAAGATGTATTTTTATAAAGTTAAATGTAGCATAGCGCAAGCAATGACAGAATTTTACAAAAGAACATTTTTTACGCAATATTTCTTTGTTAATAGGGAACAAGAATTCTCAAGAGCTACTTAAACAATATCCTGATATACGGAAGTGAATCATGGAAAGTTGAAGGATTGTTGAGAAATTTGTTGGAAGCGGGGACAATGTATTTTTTTTTTTTTTTAGATGAATGATGAGATTACCCTGGATAGAAAAAAAGAAATGAAGAAGTACTGGAAGAAACCGACTCACGAAGAGAACTGATTGGCCACATCAGAAAGAGACAATCTATATTCTTTGGTCATGTGACGACAAGAAGAAAACTAGAGTACCTCATCACGGTGGAAAGGTTAAAAGGGGAAAGAAGCAGAGGGAGACCAAGAAAGAAGATACTGGACAGCTTTACATCATGGCATGGATGGAATAACATCTGTGTCAGAACTTATTGAAAATTCTTGAGGTTGTGGATAGACATGACTACCAACGCCACACGAAGAATATATGATTGAACTGGGTTTCCAGGATTGGCAGCTGTTTGATTCTCATCCTTGAAATTTTAATCCTCCCCCTTTCACATCGGGCTAGTCCCTGTTTTAGTCACTCTTGACCGACATCTTGGAAACAATCTTCACCGAACACACAATCCATCCATCCAGCCATTTACTCATCCATGATCCTGATATCAAGCGCGTATACTACTGGCGAAAGACAAGAGTTTCTTACAGGTAGACCGTAATCAATCAGGCCGACGTTCTCCAAAAGACCTGCTACATGATGATGGTGTTTTCTAAAAATATTACACGCGAATTTGTGTCCTTTTAGACTTTATTTTCAAAGAATCTGATTGTTTAACAGTAAAATATTACTGTATAAGATTGAAACCAATATCAAGTTAATTCAAAGAACATTTAAGTCTTACCTCTCCTTTCTTGTAGCCTTTAATCAGCTCGATAAAGTTCTTACATGTTTCAGGAGCTAGAAGACCAAAGCAAGCAGCGGTAATTCTCTGCCGAAAATGAATGCCTTTGGAGTAGAAATTTGAAATCTTCAGATCAAACCACACCTCATGCGTCACCGTCAGCCTGTTGATATAAACTTAGATTGCAACCATGACCAGACTGCAAGAACAACATGTTACAAGGCGTGTACCCAGACAAGAGGACTGTGCAGGAAGCCAAAGAAAAATAAGAAACTTACAAAACTGGTGTTGTGAGTAGCTACTCTGTGGGATTTGCGGAGAAACGGATCTGAGCACTTTTGGGCTGAATGGTTCTATGAGCAATGAGGACAATCTTTTGCCTGACTAACTAGCTAACTTAGATTGCTTAATTGGGGCTATTTTCTGTATTCGATTACCATAATGCCTAACCTAATTTCCGCCCTAACGCAGTCATTTGCTCTATGCCCATAGGAACACATGGGCTCCATGCCAGTCTATGAACATTCCAGAATGTAATACCTTATTTCCATCAATGTTGGTGAGTCCGCTGCATAGTTGTTCCTAGGGGATCCTATTTATGGAACCGTTAACTAACATTGAAAACGAATATCACACACACACACACACACACACACACACACACACACACACACACAGGTAATTACACAAAGTAATCAAGTAATCGGAATTCCAATTTCATAGCGAATGGATCACCTCATAATTGTTCTGCTCCTATGACAACTAAAGCTACAGAAAATGTCCATAAAAAGGTGCCAGTACTGCGTACCGCCATTAATTTAAAAAAAGCCCTGATTAACATATTTAAATGGGATGAACATACATTTTCCGTCAGGAAACGTGCAAAAAAAAAACCTACTTTAAATCCTTACAACAACGACGACAACAATAAAAAAAAAAAAAAAAAAAATAATCAAAAGAAATAGACAGTACGTTTCAGGGGGTGGTTTCAGTTCATGTCCTCCATATATCTTATTCCTGGTTGCCACTTTTTTGACGTTATGCTTGGTGCTGATGTTAGCTGCTGTTACATTATTCCCTGTAGCAATCTCTATAACAGCCAGCAATAAAACAACGCAGCTGGGTAACGCGTGAGAACGCATCACTGTAAATGAAATAATAAATAAGTAAATAAAAGCAAAGTAATTCGATAGCAGAAATTGTCATTGGAGTATCTTCTTCTTCTTCTTCTTCTTCTTCTTCTTCTTCTTCTTCTTCTTCTTCTTCTTCTTCTTCTTCTGCTTCTGTTTCTGCTTCTTTTTCCTCTTCTTCTCGTTTACTGGCTGTAAACTCTGGTGGAAAGTTCTGATTGTTCATAAGACTTTTTCCCAAAAACCGAGTGTTGCGTGTACATCCGTTTTACAGTTCTGACTTATTTGTATGCAGACTGTTGGTTCCTTGCCTCTCAGGTAGATGCACTCTAACTTAGAAGGAAAACCCCAATTAGTCGACTCATTCAACCTTGCTGGGGAGGCATTGGGTCTATTCTTGTTTTCCTCACAATGGGTCCCCGGAACCACACGAGGAATGTATCTTCGTCTACGTTATTCTGCGTTTGGCACGTTGTGCTATGGTTTACAGTAAGATTGTTATGCTTTCGTTTTTCGTCCCAGCACATGCAGTATTGTATTTACAGCACCGGTTGCTGCAATTGACTGCTTGCTTCGTCAATTCTAGTATGGAGCTATTATTTTGGCACACCTCAAAGCTGTCTTGTGCATTTACTTTGCGTGTGCGAGCTTCAAGATTTGGCTGGTACTGACATGCTTGTCACTAGTTTTCAAATGTGACAGGGAAAGACATTGTATATCATTTATAGTGGCATCAGAACGGAGAAATTATGGGCAACTTGCCTGTAAGGACATTAAAACCTTGGCTAACGACTGACATCTTTCAAAAGACTCTTAATTAGTCACTTATTACGAAATGCTTGTCAAGGGATAGCGTGTATTTTCTTGTTCTACAAAAATAGGGCCCTACGATACGAGTTGGATTCATAGGCGCCGTAATATGCCAGCTCGGGCACTTCAAGTCCCCACTTCCTTCCAATCACCCCCAGTAATTTTTATGAAAAGGGGAGGGGGGGGGGGAGTTCTACCATGTATAGAAGTTCTTTTTTAGGCAAGATTTCCTACATATATTATTTCAAAAATGTTATTATATTTATATTTTAGCCATTAAGCACATAATAATGATAATAATACAATAATAATAACAACAATAATGAACTCTGGCCGAAAGTTCTGGTTGTTTGTCCACTTCTAAACTTTGGTCTTGTTCCATAACTTGAGTTTTGCCAGCACATCCATTTTACAGATCAGGCAATTAGTTACTCGCTTCTCAAGCAGATGCACTCTGACTTAAAAGGAATGCCTACAATATAGCCTCGACATTTGGGGTTAGGTGGACATATGTGGATATTTTATTCGCAGTTTAACCGGCCCGTCGGGCCAATCGGACCTAAAATGGTTATCACGAAATATTTTGCGAAGTAAAGGCTGTTCTTAAGTACGCCACTTATTGAATGCCGATTGCACAATAAGACGGTTGCAATATTTACCAGTACAGTTCAGTGAATAGGAAAGGTGCCTTTCCTTTACCATGAGGTTATCACGTGATGGTATGAAAACAAGATTATATGCCTGTACGCATACAAACACAAACACATTTATATGTACATAAAGAGAGGTAGTAGCGAGAGGGAGAGAGGAGAGAGAAAGGAGAGAGAGAGAGAGAGAGAGAGAGAGAGAGAGAGAGAGAGAGAAAGAGATAGATAGATAGATAGAGAGAGAGAGAGAGAGAGAGAGAGAGAGAGAGAGAGAGAGAGAGAGAGAGAGAGAGAGAGAGAGAGACAGCATAATTAAAATGCCATTCTAGAGAGCACGTGTCATCATTTTGCTGTAAATGTAAACGTTGATAGTACGTATTTATGAGACAACGTTGAACAGATCATCATCAGTTCTCGTTATGCCTAGTGGCACATGAACAGATAACACTTAAAAAAAAAAACTACAAGAACTTCAGGTCAAAAGAGGTGTCGCCAAACATGAACACTATATAGGTAGCCAAAGAAGAATAGTAAACCAACATAGAACTGGTGGGATATGCTGAAGATGGAATCCTAGCGCTTACGGACTTGTCAGATGTGCAATGAGGGTAATATGTCGATTAACTAACCAACTAACTAATTGATATTACTTAAATGTATACACAAATTACAGAAGTAATTACAGAAGAACAAATTTAGCTGTATATATATATATATGTTTAAACAGGCTAGCTTAAATTAAATAGTGTCATTTACATACCTGCACCAATATTCTACACACTATCGATATACGTTGGTTCACAACTGATACAATGAAATGTTTTCTGTACGCTAAAATGAAACCCGTTGTTCAATACGACACGGATATTTTACCACGAGTGCAAACAACGTGTCCATTCATTGATCTCTACAGATTAGCCGTTCAAACTGTGTTCAGTACTTTTGTGGAGTATTTGTGGCATGTAGATTTTCCGATATCAAGACATCAAGACATAAGTCAGTCATGGCGATATTCATAGAGAAACAGTCATCAAATCCATCAGCATGTCTGCTAGCCTGCTTGTCTGTTGATCTGTCTGTCTACATACACATATTCCTGCCTGCTACAATTGAAACGACTCAGATCGGAAGCATATCATAGATTTTCTGTTCAGGTTATTCAGGTGTACGAGGTTACGAGCAGGTTGACAGATTGGCTGCAGTCGCCCTTCTAGGCGGTGAGCTACTTTATGATAAGTGGACGTGGCGAAGGCTCTCTTTGACAAAATGGACAATGCAATAGAACATAACAGAGATCCCCTGCACTGAAATATCAATTCAACGTGGGGCAAAGGTGAAAGGAGCGGGAGAGGGGGGGGGGGTGGTGAGTAGAGGTTCTGGAAGATATTCAACACTGGGAGAGGGGTGGGAGGGGGGGGGGGGCAAGCGGACTTTAAATCAAGTTGCAAATAGTACAAGATGACGACCATACCGACCCTACATTAGTTATTGAAGACGGGGAAAAGAATAAGCACGTGTGGAGAAGTCACGAGTGCACTGATGTCGATTCTCGATTCATTCGTTCCATTCATTGTGGCATTAGCGCATCCAGTATATGGTAAGTAAAGTAAAGGACCCTTTTCCACGCCTTTAGGCGTACTGTGCATATAGGGCTAGACTTATATTTTTACAGACCATCGGCACTTTGTGGGTGATATGGTCAGCATCACGCCAGGCCGCTTTGACTTTCCAGGTTATTTTTTTTTTTTAAATGGTGGCTCTGCTAGGACCCGAAGCCATGACTTTCTGATCCGCATGCGGGCATCTAGCCGCCAATGCCACGGCGACTCCCGGTATATGGTGCTACAACCATATTTTTTATTGACAAACCGGCACTCGATGGGTTATGTTAAGTTACGCAACATGACGACGGCTGCCTATACTTCACATGATGTTTCATGGCATCCGTTTTACGCTAAGTAGACCTAGGAACCAAGATTATTTTTACTCCGTATTTTTTGTTGTTCTTGTTGATATATACATTTGTGTGTGCCATTTGTGTTTACATATTGTGGACGCAAAGAATACGCTGCACAATTAATTGCCTGGCATACATAGCGAAATACGCCAGTCAATAAATCGTGCGATGTACTGTTTGTATCCGCGTTATTTAAATTTACAACGGGAAAACATTGTCCAGAAACCCTTTATGTTTTCTTAACTATTAAGTCGTCCCCATGTGGGAAGCACTGTTTTGCTATTTGAAGCCCCACCCTTGCTTTTGTCGGGGGTCCTAAATATAGACGGGCCATAAATATTGCCTATCCATAGATACAGCCATAACGGCTGAAAGGGGTTTCTGGGACCTCTCCACGGGTGATCCTCATCTACATGGTGGCACTGTTTCACCGGGTGTTCGCTTGTGTGATGTCCTGGTGGTTGGCTCTGTGGCTAAGTCGATGCGAACGCTTCGTAATGCCGGGGTGCCGGGTTCGATCCCAGCTACGGGCCATGCGCCTTGCGTTGGTTTCGACAGTGGTATCTTAGGGTCGACCGTCCAGAGCAATGGCAAACTACTGGACGTAAATTTGCCTAGAGAAACTACACAACAGCCAGGGACTGTTGGGGTTGGTTCTGCAACGTCCTGCAAAGGATACGCAACTAACCTGGTGGGGTATAACCAGGTCCTTCTGTATATGTGTAAATAGAAAAGGGTATAACTACCAACCAACCTTTATTGTCACTGCACAATGCGCATTCCCATGAGCGCCCCGTCCTCTCATGCAACAGTAACCCCAAGGTGCCTCCACTGATTGTTCGCATGAGAAGCTGGTTGCAATGTCTACTGTTTTGGCCTCAAAAACGGCACTGACTATTTTTTTAAATTTATGAGTGTCAACTAAATTATGTGAACTTTTGTGCTATTTTTCTCCCAATTATTTTTGTTAAATATTACGCAAAAATTGCACGTGGGTGATTGGAGGACATGTCGCCATATTGACAACAATGAACTAATCGTTGATAGATTCTTGATCATGTGACTAAGGAAGACAACCCCCAAACAGACGGCAGAAATTCAAAAGTTCATTGTCAACAAACGAACGAAGATGTTGGAGAGCAACCAAGAAAACCGAGCCAAGATTGTCAATAAGTTGACTAAAGAAGAAATGACGAATTTACAGAAACAAATCTACTATTCAGATAAATATACAGATGATGAATATGAGTACAGGTAAGCAGGTTGAAACAATAAAAAGTATTAAAAAGTAAAAGAGTACAACAACCACAAGTCCAAAGACATGTTGTAACTTGTAGAAAGTAGTGAAGTAGAAATCGTAAGAATACAATAGTTAATCACTTTTTAAAAAGAATTTTTTAAATATTATTTAAAATATCATCATGCAGTATGTAGAAGGTCCTTTGCAGAACGTCGCTCTCATCACAGTCTGCCTGAAAGAAACTCGGTCTCTCGCCAGCTCTCCCGCCTCATGCACTTTCATACTCAAGGAGTCACTTATATACTTATATCCTGTGCCCATCTTCGTGTTGGTCTGCCCCTCCTTCCTGGTACCATGCCTTCTGCTATAATTTTTTCCAGTCCGATATGACCAACATATTTCATTTCAGCTTCCGAGAAAGGATACTGTTTATAAGCCAATCTTCCTTGATGTTCAGATCTTTTAAGATGTCAGTATGTCTGATTCTCTTCTTTGTCCAAGATATTTTGGCTCTACTGTCAAATTTGGCCGGTAAGCTGGGCTGCTTCAGCCGGCTTAGCGGGGCTTAGTGGGAGTTATGTCCCTTCGCGTCCCTTCGCTAAACTCAAAACAAGTTGCGGAAAAAGTCACGAATCAAATGACATGCTTACCTATCATCATCTGGGTGCGTGTAGGGCTGCGTAGGGTGTCTATCATCATCATCATACGGTTGCGTTTGGGGTAGAGTTAGGGGTGTGGGTTAGGGTTAGATGTGACAATTTTCACGTAGGAGGTCGAAATACTGGCCAACAATCTGATGCTTGTGGGAGTGGCGCCACTGGAAGTGTGCCAAATATGACGGCAATAGCGCGCGACGGCTGGTGCCCCAATCGGTGGCGAATTGTCCGTGTCAGTAGCATCCACCGTCCGTCGACTGTTTGCGCGTGCATGCGACTGTGCGCGATTGTAGGGAACTACGGCGTCACAATTGTCACATCTAACGCTACACCTAACCCTAAACCTAAACCCTAACCCCTAAACGCTTACCCTAACCCCTAACCCTACCCCTCATCTTACGCAAACAACCAACCTACACGCAATAAGCAGCCCTACACGCAACCGTAGGACGATGATAGACACCCTACGCAACCCTACACGCACCCGGATGATGATAGGTAAGTATGCCGATTGATTCGTAAATTTTTCCGCGACTTGTTTTGAGTTTGGCCAAGGGACATAACTCGCACTAAGCCCCGCTAAGCCGGCCGAAGCAGTCCAGGAGAGCCGACTTATTAACCTTAATAATGCCGCAACTCTTTAAAAGTCACCAGTACATTTTAATTTGTGTATTGATGCTGGAAGGGTTGCGTTCCAACTGATGATAATCAGTATATAATTTGTGTTGTTGGCCACTGTTTTAATCATTATATATATTATATATATATATATATATATATATATATATATATATATATATATATATATATATATATATATATATAATATATATATATATATATATATATATATATATATATATATATATATATATATAATATAAAATAGAGCGAGAAACCAACGTTGTGTATATAATAAGCCAGATTTGTAGAAGGGGTGTGACCCAGTAGGCATGCAAAACTCAAGTCCAGAAGTGGATGAACAACCATAACTTTCCACCAACATTTATGTCTGGTGAAGAAGGAAGAAGAAACAATACATCAAGTCCCTTTTCTAATTATAAACTTTTATTAAACATAAATGTGCCCTAGGCCTTTGACTGAGAACATCACAGACATAGTCATTGACTGAACTTTCCCTAAATATCTAAATTATTAAGCACTAGTTTAGTAGTTACATTTGTGTCTCCTTCACTTCCATCTTCTTCTGGCATGTCTCCTTCTGGTGAAGGGGGATACATCTTCAGCCAACTTGTGCAAAGCCTGTTGAGATTTTTCAGCTAGGTCAGAACTCTAGTTAGGTTTCTGTCTCCTTCAATTTTATTTTCTGCTATACATCCTTCAGTAGTGCATTGGCCCTTACCATTTTAGTCCATAATTGGTCTGGATTGGTGGCTGAAGCTTTTTACAGGATGAGGTAGTCAACCACAAGCTCAACGTTACCCTAAATTGTCGCTTACACTTAAACGCTGCTTATGACATGCTTGTTGGGGTGCTGGGTTACTGTTCTTTGCTTCTTCAAAGGATCCCTCAAAACACCTACTAGCACTTCTCACTTAGAGAGTACTTTCTGACAGCTGTAAGAATTATGGTACAGCTGTAGGATGTGATGATGTCATTTATCTTAATGAGTTTCTCTCTGTCAAAACTAACTCACTCCAAGGGTTTCTTCTAGAACAGTTGCAGGGAACCTGCATTTTAAGTGATATTGCACTGGGATGTCAAGAGTAAGCATTTAGCAGTATTGGAATTCACATTCAAAGTAAAGTAAATATCACGCCTTGGGCACATCGGAATATGGGAAGACCACCCCATATTTTTACAGACACTAGGTGGATAATGTGGTCAGCATTACACCGGCCGTCTTGACTTCCCATGACTTTACCTGGTACTTATTTAAGGCTGGGTCGACCTGGTAACCAAGATTATTTTTGAAAGAAAAAAGTCTGGCTGAGTTCACATTTGAACCCACGACTTTTGGATCCACAGGCAAATGTCTAGTTGCTATACCATTGCAGCTGCCAACAACAGCAGTAGAAATAAGGAAAATTTCAAGGAAAAAAATAAAACTGTTTTGTGTGTCAGTAATATTAAAATATAAGTAAAAGATAAGTAAAGATCCCTTTTTACGCCTTGGGCATATGGGAAGAGCACCCATATTTTTACAGACCAATCGGCACTAGGTGGGTTATGTGGTCAGCATTACGCCGGTCGTCTTGACTTCTCCAGGACAGCCATCCATATACACATTTAAGGCTGGGTCGACCTGCCACGCCCCATACCATGATAAAAATCCACACAGCCAGCAGTGGGTTTCGATCGCAGTACGTTGGATTACGAGTCGGACTCGCAACGCTTAAGCCACAGACGCCGCACAATGTTAAAATATAACTAATATATTTATCTGTTTGTATTTCAGGCATGTATTACTGCCCAAAGAGATTGCAAAACTTGTACCAAAATCTCATCTCATGTCAGAGACTGAATGGCGCAGCATTGGAGTGCAGCAAAGTCATGGCTGGATACATTACATGAGACATGATCCAGGTATTTTGTTTGTCTGTTCACACATTCCTAAAATGGTGGGAGGCCGATTATGTGTAAAGAATGGATGTGATCAATCCGTTTCGATGATTTATTTTGACTTTTCACAAACAATTGTTAAAATTGTAATCTAAGATAGACACAACAGCGGTTACTTTATTTCTCAGCACGCCTTCCTGTTTCTATTTTTCACATTTCAGTTTCTTTTACTGCATGGGTTGCCTGCCTAAATGTGATTGTTTTCATTTATTTTGTTGTGGTGTAGGATTCCTGTTCTTTTTGTTGATAAAGACTGGTTAAAATGTTTATTTATATGTATGTGTCTTTTTTTTCCCCATCATTACATTTCCTAGTCACATATTGTGCTCCACTTATTTAGCTTTAGGAATTTATTGTAATAAAATATAAATACATGTTGAATTAAGAATCGACATCACAGCACTCGGGACACCTCCATATAAGCTCCATCCCCATCTTCAGCAGCAAGCGAAGAGTAAAAATTCTGATAATGCCAGTAATTGTCTGATTGTACATTCATCTCGCCTTTCCCCTGAGTGTCGAGCATCGTCCAGATCCCCTTGTAACTCCTCGCAGTGTCATTCTCCCCAGAATGTAATGATCTATCTGTGCCTTGGCACTGTTCACTCGCTCCCAAAGGGCCCTCACAACGTCCAGTGGTGCAGAACCGGCCAGTCTATCTGCCTGCTCATTTCCCAACACACTGGCATGACCTGGAGAAAATATCCAAAGGATGCCAACTACCTGGGACCTTTGAAGTGATGCCCGCCACTCTGCACGGAGCAGGCATGTTTCCACCTTTCTCAACATGCTCTGCGAGTAAATAAATACACAAAAACTCCTATTGCTTAACAGCTGTGGACAGTATGGTACACAATGACCACAGGCACGATTTGCCCCAGCTTTCAGCTAAAGCAGCATAACAAGGAAAATAAGTATCCAAACCTTTGAATTCCATTGAGGAGACTGAACACTTGTTGACATGTCCTGAGGCAGCGGCATCAACTATTTACCATAATCTTGTTTCAGATTCCTAATTTAAAAAAATTTATAATTCAGCTTTCAAATGTTTAAAGGTAGTAAACAGTTATTTGTGTGTTATTTACAGAATGTTGCAGAACCAATCCCATAATTTGTTGCCTATTTATTTCACTAGACAGTGTTTATGTTCAGTGGTTTGCCATTGCTTCCTAAAGGGTTGGCTCTCAATACCACTGTCAAAAACAACGCAAGGCGGTCTGCAACCAAATCGCCCGCAGCTGGGATCAAACGTGACACCTTGGATTTAGGAAGTAAAGCCTAAACCACAGACGCTAACTAAAAGTTGTGTCCTGGCAGTTACTGCCACAAAGAGGGGAAACCTTAAGCCTTCACAGGTTTAAGGCCATGGCATATGAGATGAGATAGACAGTTCCCTTCCTCATCCTGTTTCTTACCCCAGAATACTGGAAATTGTGTTGCATTTTGATGTGGCGGCAAGACCCCAGTGCGTTCAAGAATGGAAAAATCCTACTATGTGTAAACAGTTAAGCTAAGCTAATTTGCTTTAAAAGGTCATGGGTTTAAACCCAACGGAGCATGACTTTTTTCAGAAATGCCTTGGCTTCCGGGTCAGTCAAGCCTTAAATGGGTACCACATAAAGTTCTGGGAAGTAAAGGTGGCCAGGATGTTGTTGACCACACCATTCACTGATTGTTTTAGCCCTATATGCCTTGAAGGCGTGGAAAAGGAGTCCTTTACATTTTACAAGAATTCTGCACCTAGTGTCATTTGGAAATTATTTGCATTATACTGTCTATTTCTGCAGAACCACATGTGCTGCTGTTTAGAAGGAAGTTACCTGGGAAGTAAACTGTTGTGTTGGGACTATGTGACTTTCCTGTTACGGATTCTGTGTCCTTGCCTTGTGTTGAATCATCATGTTTCCACTCAATGGAGAGCAGGCTTGTATATATTATGTGCTCATATTTTGGCGCTATTTTCATTAAACTACTTAAATACCTGTGTATTACGTATACAGGGTTCTTGTCTGAGGAGGCCACCATAAAACAGTAAATATAGTGATGTTTCACATTGACTTCTTTTGTTGTGACTGCTTGGGACAATATGTAATGTAATAAAACAGTTGCCTAGCTGTTAACAGATCTTATCATTTGAATTGTGTACAAATGCCACTCCTCAGAAATGTCACTCTCTTTTTCAAATACACACACTATATATCCTCTGGGAGAGTAAGCTTTATTTAATTTTTGCTGTTAAAGTCATTTCAGTTTTGAAAAGGGCTTCTTGCATCAGCAGAGTCAGCCTCGACTAGATACTATTCTCCCTATCTTGCACTGAAGTCATGAGGGCAATTTTTTTAGTTCTTCTTACTTCTCTTAATCCAGAAACCAAAGGAGTTCAAGATCGATACTAAAATTTTAGAGCGGTACTGAAGCATATTATGATGTCTTCTTCTTAAAGTCCATGCTTTGGTGGTCATGTCTATCCACAACTTTCTGTCTCATATACTTTCAATCAACTCTGACACAGATGATCTTCAGTGCTATGTCCGACTGTCCAGCATCTGTTCTCTCGGTCTCCCTCAGCCTCTCCTCCCCTCCAACTTTCCTACTGTCACGATGTACTCCAGTTTTTCCCTTCTCATCACATGACCAAAGAATGTAGATTTTCTAATGTGGACAATCAGCTCTCTTTGTGAATCAGTTTCTTTCAAGGCGTCTTCATTACTTTTTTTTTTAAATCTGTCCAGGGTATTCTCATCATTCATCTATAAAACCACATCTCCACACTTTCAAACAAGTTTTCACTAATTTACTTACTGTCCATGATTCACATCTGTATATCAATATTGGATTTATATAGCTTTTAAAAATTTTCTTTTATGTCTCAGTTGACAAAGATGTATCAGGTCATAATTCAGCACAGGAAATATAGCCTGGCTGGGTTCGATTTTGGGTTAGTAATTTTTCTTCTGCATATCTTGGGTATTTAACTGTCACCCGACTCCAACACAGTATCCACATATAGGTCAGTTTTTATTACTTCATAAAGTTTCTATAGAGCTTCTATATTGTGTCTTGTCCTATTTATTCTCAGCGAGCAATTACTCCTACTGTTTTCTTTCTATTTTCATTTCTTTGTCTCATCTGATTACATTAACTGCTCTTCTCACATGTGATCTTCCTAGTACCGATTTACCAAGGTACCAAGGCGTATGTCTTGATTAGTGACATTGATAACACAGAGCTGGTATGATTATACTGTTGATCAATTGTCTCTTAGTTTCTCTGTTGATGTTTGAACTGTGGTGATAGCTGATAAATCAGTGCTATTCTTCTGTCATCTAATTTCTGATTTCCATCTTGTGTACAAATACTTCCCACATATTTGATTGCAGGAGAGTGTTTGATCCTTGCGGTTGCAAATATGAAGGAACAGTTGTATAAAGATATTTAAAGTTTGTGCCTTACATATACTGATTTTCATATTGCATGACTCACATGTGTTAAATATTTTGTTTGTTTTTGCAAGCTATCCTCAGATTTGTGTGGTATACATGAATAGTCTATGATCAGTAATTTGTTAAGGGTCGTTTAGTTTATATCTTTTTGAGTCCTCAACTTTTTGTTTTCAGTTCTAAATTTGCCTCTGTTATTATTTTGTTCATGTGGATGTTTAATTGTAATGGTAATAGTACACATCCTACCTTTCTACTGTCGTTTCTGCTAACTCAGTGTATACTTTTCTGTTCTTATTACACTTTGGCATCTGTTTTTTTCCCCCTCTCTAATACCCACATAGGGACTAGGGGCATGTTCTCTATAGAGTTCTGATTTGGCCTAGTAAATGGGATGCCCTTTTATCTCATTGTCTTCTAAAATAGACCATAGCTTCTTACTTGATCAGTGACTTTCTCCTCAACTGTGAATGCACTGTTGTTTTTTTGTAGTTGTCATCCTCAGCACATCTTTTACTGAATTTTCATAGCATGTAATGTCTCACTAGTTGAATAGGCCGTTAACTTTCATCTGAGGAGAAAGTATTGTTGGTGTTTTCCTGTTTTTTTTTCTTAATTATTATTTTTGTTATTTATAATCCAAAATAATGATGTTTATTTAGTCTGTTATAATAATAATATTTATTTAGTCAGTCATAATAATGTTCTTTTAGCTAATACTGTTGTAGGTCTAATTTTGAGTCAGTTTTGCTTCTTTACAACACACAAATGGCAATACAAGTAACTATCAGATTGTTGATATAACTGTTGTTGCCATTATTTTGAAATACCTTCTGTATATAATTCCACTTACTGAAAAATGTACTTGTTAAAATTGTGTTCATTTATTTATATATAATGGAAACTGTTGTAGCCTGTTTTCTATTTACCTGACCATTCATATAATTTCAGAATGTTACAAAGCTTTGTTATTTGCCGAACAACTCTTATCTGCATGAATGTTACTTTTATTGGGCATTTTTTATTTAGTCTAATTAAATAGTCTTTTCTTTTTACACTGTTTTGCCTTCTCATGTCAGAATTTGAAGTTACATCTGGTGTAAGCCATGATGTGTGCTACCCAGATGCTGGTATTCATGGTCTTAGATTTTCCATCTATCACTTGCTTCTGTTGTCTTTAAGTTGATGGGACTCTCTTTGGTGCACTGTTTTGTGATAGTCTTGTCATATGTCTGATCTGTTGTATCTGAGGGTGTGAGCATTATACTTTGAAGATAAATAATTGTTCATTTTTGAGATCATCATCTTCGCACATGACCATAAGTGCTTTGATCTCTTCCTGAGTATCTCTCCATATGTTCTTATACTAACAACTCCTGTTCTATTCTGGTTGATGTAATGACAGGTGGCTCCCGCATGGTTTTCAGGTCTTGCCGCTCCGCTGGTATATACCCAGGGTCTGCAGTTCAATGAAAAATAATTTTCCACAAAACTGAAAGTCTCACAGCGTTAATTAAGTCTCTCTTATGGCATTGATCATGTCTCTCCTGTCCATAGAGGGCCCATTCCTGATAGTCCCACTGCCAACCAGAGAGTATGCTCTTTCATACTTGCATGCCCTGGGACAAAAATGGAGGTGATGTTGTGAAATGCTGCATGCTGCTGTATTAGATGGAGCACATACAAAATAAATCAAAGCTATGGCAAACTACTGAACATAAAACTAGCAAGTAAAACCATTCAGCAGTCCATAAATGCTAGGTTTGTTCTGCTGCATCCTGAAAAGGATATGTAACTAGTTAAATAATGTTCAAACAGTGATTGTTACCTAGTCCTTTATTTACATTATATTTTCCAGTGTGTGTACTTTCCATACACGTTCTTGTGTATTCAGTGGGACAGTTAAGCACATGTCAGACTGTAATTATCTCATGTTGAAAAGTATGCGTGTGACTTAATGCAAGGTAAAAGGATTCTTTCATTAAAATGTTATATTTTTGATTAGGCAAGATCAGTTTTGATGTTGCGCCCTGGCTGTTACATGCAGTCTGTTTGTAATAGTGTGTCTGTATATAAAACCTGCTTCATGAATTGTTTCAAAAATAAACAAAAATGTTTGTCAGCATTATGCCACATTTTCCTGTTTGTTTTCACTTTAATCTGATCCCTGTGAGGGTTAAAGGGTCCAATTTTTACGGTTAAAAGTATATGTCCATTGCTCCACAACAAGCATATCATACAATGAACCCACGTGGAGATTTTAAACAGCTACTGTTGTGAACGCTCTTCACTTGACCATCAAAGTCATAGAACAAGTTTGAGGAGACCTCTGATACTAGTGTCGTTATCTTTTGACCACAATGAGACAAGGAAAAACTGGAATAATGTGTGACAACTAGACGGGTGTATGCAAAAAGAGATAGAGGAAGACAATGAGAAAAAATTCCTGACATCTTCTTGTGGGGGTCAAAGTGTCTGAGCAAGAATCAGATTTGTGTAGGGTTTTAACCACTTTAAGTCGTGAGTGCAGGGACTGGCCAGTTGGTCTATGATGGACTATGAATCCATCCATAATATCAAGGATTACACAGTACAGAGCGGAATTTAGGATTAGACTGTGAGCCCTGGGTAACATATCACAACATAATAGGATTCTGAAGATGATCTTTCCTTGTAATCTTCCCATTGTCAGGAGATACTCATGCCATGCCCAAAGAATGGTAATTGCCTTTTTTCTGTTGGGAGTAATAAATTCTTTGTGAGTTCAATACTTTCAAGACATGCTTTTTATATATCCACTGGTCTTTCAATTTAAAAAAACCATTTGTGTGCAGCCTCCATCTTATTTTTCACTGATACAGCTAAAAGAAACCCAGCTAGAACTCAAGGCACAAGTAGACTAAAAACAACTCACAGAGCATTTTGAAAAAGGTGGAGACAGGCATGCCACGTGCAGAGTGGCCAGCATCAGGTAGTTAGAATCCTATGGATATTTTCTCCAGGTGATGCTGGTGTGTTGGGAAATGAGCAGGCAGATAGACTTGCCGGTTCTACACCACTTGGGGGTGAACTGATGTATGAGAAGTTGGATGTTGTGAGAGCCCTTTGGGAGCAAGTGAACAGTGCCGAGGAACATTAAGATCATTAAAGTCTGAGAACAGTACTGCAAGGCGTTACAAGGGAAATCTGGCCGATGCTTGAAACACAGGGGATATACAATCAGACAGTTACCGGTACCATCGTAATTTTAACTCTTGGCATGCTGCTGAAGATGGGGACGGAGCACTTATGGGAGTGGCCTGAGTGCTGTGCTGTCGATTCTTAATTCATCATTCAACTAAAAACAACAACACAGTGGATGTTACTCAGGAAGAATGAGAAATATTTATTT